CTGCACTGCCCCTGCCCCTGCCCCTGCCCCGCGGGGAAGGGCGGCACTGAAACAGGACCTTGTCCCTCGGGACACCAGCCCTGTGCGCAGGGGCGCTGCAGGAGCCTGCGGTGCCAGAGGAAAAGGTGTTCTTTTGCTGCCCGGCTTTGCCCCCGGGGAAAGGGGGGCGATGAAACGGTCCTGCGTGCCTGGGGGCAGTAGTTTTCCGCCAGAGGGAGCAAAAGGCTGGTGTCCCGATGGGCAAAGTATTATCTTGTTGCCCGGCGTTGCTCCTGCAGAGCCCCTGCATAAAGGGGGGTAATGAAATATAGTACCTTGTCCGTGGGGACACCAGCCTTGTGCTCCTTTGGACCCCCAAGTTCTGACACTGCAGGCTTCGCAAAAATGCCAACAGATGAAAGGGATTAAACACGCATGATCGTTTAATGTAAGCAAGGCACCTACCACAACGCTCTACGCCAGTGACAGGTGAATAATGATAAAAACAGAGTGGATTCAGCGTCAGCAAAACACTCCTCGTCAAACACATTGACTCAGAACCGAGTGCCTGGCTCTGCACCCAGGGGATTTTTCTTTTATTTCCGTAGGAATGAGGTTGGGCCCAGACTCACCCAGGTCAGCCCACTCCCTCCAAAAGCCCCCTGGTCTCAGCACCGCAGCAGGGGGTCAGGGACAGACATTGCATAAACCAGTTTGAGCCAAATCAGTTCAGTCTGATACTACATTCACCCAGGTTTCTCTCACACCAGTTTCTGCCATTTTCAGGCTGGTTTATGTGCACTGAATGTCTGTTCTGTTACAGGTTTAAACCAGTTTGCTAATGAATCAGGGATTAGAAGTGCATATTTAACAAATAAATACAGATCCTTGGGATCTGCGTCCCAAGACATTGACCAAAACAACAGATGAGTGGCTATACAGCATCAATAGCACAAAACCAACATCCGGTCTAAACGTAGGATCAGAGTAGTACAGATAGCAAATGACAGGCTCTGGACCACATTTGGAGACGGATCAAATGCGACTGTCAATTAAATGTTTGACTTAAATAACTTTACATTTCTGTTACATCTCATCCTTTCCCATTTGGACTCCAAATGTTGCAGCCACCAGCCTAAGGAGCCCTTGGTATCTCCTAAAGAGGCAAAGCTGCCCGTTCTCCCCCAAAGACTGAGGAAGTTGCTAGCAGATACCGCAGGGACGAACCTGGGATGATGGTAAATGGGGACTGTCACTTTGTAAACCTGCTGCTTTTAGTAAAGATCCTTAAGGACCAAGATGAGGGCACCACTGTGTTACACTTTGCACATAGGCAGGCCTTGTCCTGATGAGTTAACAGGTTAAATAGACAAAGGATGGGAGAAAGGAAAGATTATCGATACCATTTTTATGGATAGGAAACTGTTTTCACCTAAGAGTTCACAATTCCCTTTTTGCAGCTTGGATAGGCAATCATCAAAATTTCTCCACCTCCTCAAATGGCAACAAATCTCTAGCTGTACGTCTGAAACAACTGAACTGCCTGTTAAACAAAAGGACTGGGTTGGATTTAGATCTGCAAGGTGCGCAAAGGTCATGCTATCAGTAAGGGGAAGCTGGAGAGCCAAAGGTAAACTGTGCAATTACTGCATCTCCCCAACGATGCCTTGGCAGCCTCTCAAAGTACAGGGGGTAAAGACATGCTTCAAGAAACGAGTCCTATGAGGTTAAGTCTCACCAGAATGGGCCTAATTTTCAGAGGTGCTGAACCACAGCTTCAGTGGCAGCCAGAAGTGTACAGCACCTCTGAAAACTGGGCCAAGTGCTATATACCGAAGCAGCTGCACGCCATGTAACCCCACCAGGGCGCGGGTCAGGGAGTTGAGGCCGCTCGGCACCTTTCAGAAGTTGCTTAGCATTTCACAGGACGAGGCTATAAAAAGTTACCTGGGCAAAACCCAGCAGTACCAACTCTGGAGGGAGCACTGACAAGAGATATGAAACTTTTAAAGAAAGAGCTGCTAACGATTGAGCAAGCTGGAAGGGGAGCCCCCCCCCACCCGATACAGGCTAAACAGAAACAGCACAAAGTCACTGGGACCAGCTAAGTCTTTACTTGGTTTCAGAAACTGTCTGGAATACAAAATGATCGTGCCCTAAATTTAAAGAGAAAAACTTCTGCAGGACAGAAGTCCAACAGTAATATTCCTGCAGCTGACAATACGGGTCTGTTTCGGGTCTCAATTAAGTCAATGGGATTTTGACAATGGATCCCAGCCTGGGTTCAATTAATTCGTGCTGCAAAACTATCGCTTTTAGTGTAGTGACACCAGGAAAGGATTTGTATCATGATTTTTTTCTGAGGGAAGTTAATATGCAAACTAATCACCGGTGCTTTCTGACTCCAGGTAAAGTATGTGGCTACATGCAATAAAATAAAAATAATAGTCACTGGTATAGTAACCATGAGAGGCTTCAAAGTCCAATTGAAAACTTGCACTCTGCAGCTAAAGGAAGTCTGTAAAATAAGTAAACTGATAATGGTTCAACCTCCATCTTTAGTGAAATAACATTTGTAGAGTGACTCAGATCACTTACTTGCTTAGAAACCAGTCATGTTCCTGTTGAAACCAATAAAAATGTTACCATTCAGTTCAATGGGAGCAATACCAGTACCTGGATCTTCATGTCCAGCAAGATCAGACACTACTTTGTACTTAGTACCCAAAATTGAACTACGTAGGATAATAAGATACAAGCTGACCGTGCACCTCAGGTCACAAGATAATTATAGCAACAGTTTTATACGCGTCATAAATATGCCAGGGTTCATTTCAAATCCAGGGTTGTAAGGTTTAGAAGTTGACACTGGCCTGGAAATTTACCTACAATTTTCAGATTGGGGACAAAAAGGTACATAATTAAGAAAAAACAAATATATGGCCATTTTTGCAGAAGAGTTAAACCACAAAACAGAACAAATTTATTCTAGGTTTTACGCCAATGAAAGCAAATGAACTACCTGGGGAATGAGTGAGGCTCAATATAAACTGTTTAAATGTTAAGATGATCATTCCACTTCTAAACCACAGTATTTTTGGCACAGTGGGGAATGTCAGGAGTGTTTGTTTGGGTTGGGTTGTTTTTTTTTTAATTGAGGGAAATTTATCTAATGCGGATTTCATTACAGTCTGTAATACAAAAATAAACATTTATTTTCAATACAGCAAAGCATAGCCCTCTACCATAGAACAAATATCCCATATCTTATTTTAAAGTAAATGTGCGGAGTCACAGACAAGAGTGATTTACAGAAGGGTTTCGTTTTATATGATCAAATGGAAGAATTCCTGTGCAGGATAGCAAAGCTTCATTAAGAGCGGTCAGGTCCTACCTCAAGAAACAAAGATTATGTTTTAATAATTAGTAGAAATTCATTGAGGAAACTATTAAGAGGAAACAGATGAGGCCAAAACAAGGATATCTAATTTATATGAAAGAAGAAAAAGAAAGCTGGGTCTCTGCTGCTCCACCCATATTCATGTCATGTTTTGAAAGTATACACTTGGGGTATCAACAAGCTACACAGACTACAAATTAACACATCTTAGTCTAGAAAACTGCATGCAAATAAATAGGCCAGTTGCTGTAATGACAGGCAAGAGAGATTTAGGGCCTGAAAGATGCTGAGCTCTTGCAATTCCAAATCAAATTGTTTAATAAATGTTAAAAAAAAAAGCATGATCATGATAGTGCTATGCACATTTCGGCACTGTTCATATGGGTATTCTGATGGCTATGTATATGCCAAATACAAGACTAGTAGTAAAGTAACATGGAAAATTCTCCAGGTCCAAAGCCAGCAGTATGGGTGCACATGGCTCTTGCAAAAAGCAAGCTGTCACTTATGTTCTAACTATATACACACACGTGACCCCACTACGGAGCATGACAACTAAACGAGATCCAGAGTCACAACATTTGGATCAGTTGCATTTCCTGTAGCTTCCAGGTAATCAGGTTTAGGGTTTCAGGCCTATCTTTGCTAAGAAATCAGATGAACCATTCTCTCTGTTCAGAATTCACAGAATAGATTTGTCTGGTTGTGTGGAGGGGAGCTACGAACTCTACGGAGCATTTCTGCTTTGGACTTCCCTTCTGGGTGCAACTTTTCTTGCAAGCGGGTGCCAAGTTTCCCTGCCAATAAATACAAGCAGCTCCCAGTGATTTTCCCTGGAGTCACTCCTATCGAAAGCAGAATATCCAATGTCCAAATACTGTTCTTCAGGGTCTATTTACCTTCTTCCTGCAACCTTCAGAAGCAGCCACCTGATAGGAGAGCCCATTGAAACAG